AAAAAGTCTTGTCATGCATAGAATTGCTTTTGCTTGACAATATGACATTGTTTTTAATCACAATACTAACTGTGATTAACATATCTACGTGAAACCAGCTGTTGCGGGGAAAGGCTTCATAGCAAAAGACATGGCGTTCATCAACACTGCAGGGCCAGAGAAGCACCAGGCTGTGGCTTTCCGGTCGGGCTCGGACCAGTCAGTCTACTACCGGTGCTCGTTCGATGCCTTCCAGGACACTCTCTACGCCCACTCCAACCGCCAATTCTACCGTGAGTGCGATATCACAGGCACCATAGACTTCATCTTCGGCAATGCCGCTGTGGTCTTCCAGAACTGCAACATCCAGCCACGTCAGCCTCTCGCCAACCAGTTCAACACCATCACAGCTCAGGGCAAGAAAGATCCCAACCAGAACACGGGCATTTCAATCCAGAAATGCACGTTTTCTCCCAAGGATACCGACCTCACTGCCGGAACTTACCTTGGTAGGCCTTGGAAGGAGTACTCTACGACAGTCATTATGCAGTCCGATATTGGGTCGTTTTTGGAGCCCTCGGGATGGAAAGAATGGGTCGCCAATGTTGACCCGCCCAGCTCCATATTCTATGCAGAGTACCAAAATTCTGGCCTTGGATCAAGCGTGGAGAAGAGGGTCCAATGGGCTGGATATAGGCCCACTCTCACTGAAGAGGAGGCTTCCAAGTTTTCTGTGGGGTCGTTTATCCAGGGTGGGGCATGGTTGCCTCAGGCCGGTGTTGAATTTAATGAATCCTTATGATTGCAGAAATGGTTGAGAAATGGGGTTTTACTATAAAATACACGGCAAATATCAAATACTGAGAAACTTATAATTGGTCATCACTTCTTTTTTTTTTTTTTCTTTTTTGGGTTAACATTACAATTGGTCAGCTTGTATGATTCAAATGTCTTACACTAGTTTTTCTCTTCTTTCAACGTTGTATTTTTGTGTAAACATGTTTTTTCTTAACAGAAATCGATGTTTTACTTTCCATTCTTTTCTTTGAAGATTGTAGGTATGTTCATACACAAGCAACACTGTCGGCAATCTCTTCTTAAATTGCATTGAATTAACCAATAAACCACCATGGTACTTTCGCATTTTTTTTCCTTCAAAAGTTGGGTTTTGAAGAAGTCGCTGGCAGTTGATTGATTTAAAACCAATTATTGATCAAGTGGAAAATAACTTGTCAATGACTTTAGTTATGGTCTTTTCTGTAGCTTATGTCACGACTCACAAGTGTTGAAAGAAAAGGACCTAAAATTAAAAATGCAAACCCGCACGCAGATGTCTCTTCTTTGAACACTTGTTTTTATAATTAAAAACGCTTTGAAAAGCTCTGATTGAGCACGAATATGTAGACTGATCTAAGGGTGAATTTAGTTGAGTGGAAAGGAAAAAAATAGAATGTAATGGAATCTAAATTTAATGTTTAGTTAGATTTATAAAAATAGAATTGTTATTTAAAAAAAAT